TCAGATGTCGTGCGAGAACCTGCAGCGGTCGCCGAACTTGCAGTCGCCCTTGTCGCGGAAGTCGTAGCAGATGCCGCCGCCGCCGCCGCCCTTGCCCTTGCCCTTCCCGCCGCCCTCGGGGCAGTCGCGCGCCAGGTGGTCGCCGCCGCAGTTGAAGCAGCCCTTGCTCTTGCCCCCGCCCTTGCCCCCGCCGCCGCCCTCGGGGCAGTCGCGGGCGAGGTGGTCGCCGCCGCAGTTGAAGCAGCCCTTGCTCTTGCTCTTCCCCTTGCCGCCGCTCTTTCCTCCGCCCTGGGGGCACTCCCTCGCGTAGTGGTCCCCGCCGCAGTTGAAGCACTCCACCATTTTGTGAGAGTGCAGGGTCTGCTGAGGTCCGAATGCACCCCTCCTTGTGTCAAAAAATGGCGTGGGCCAAACGGCTGCGGAGGCGAGTTCAAGCCTGTGACACGGTGGGACCAATGAAGAATGCAGTCCAACGCCCTCGCCTGACGCCCAGATCTCAAACATCGTGAAAAGGGAGGTCTCGGGGCCATGGGGAGGTCGGAGCTCTTAAAGGGGCCCTAGGACACACAAGAAATACACGCACATCCCAGGATCATTATATTTTCATGCATTTTCTGGGTTTTCGTCTTCCCCCCCCATTGTCCATATTTTCCAATGTTTTCCTGGGCATCGACGATTAACTGTGTCTGTGTGTTTTTCCCCTCCTGAGCTCTGCTGGAGGCGAGAGCGCGAATTGGGGGGTGGCAAGCCTCGAGGAGGGCGACGCTGGGATCGCTGCCGCACCTCCGACTCGACTCGCGCCGGCCGCCGACGGCGCGGCCCCAACCAGGAGGCACGGCGGGCAAGCCGAACGCCCAGGGTGGCTTCGTCCTCCTCCTCCTCCTCCTCCTCCTCCTCCTTCTCCTCCTCCTCCTTCTCCCCTATCCACCGCCCCCCCCCTCTCCCCTCTTAATCTCTCCTCCTCCCCCACCTCGGCCCCGACGCAGGACCACCTGCATAGCCAGGAGGACGCCGACGGGAGCCCGAGCCAGACGTGGGCAATTGAGAGAACTGGGACGGCCGGGGCGAAGACTCGAGGATGGCTCAAGCGCCGCCTTCATGCTCTCCCTCCTTGTTCCTTCTACTCCTTTTGCTCCTCCCCCTTGCTCCCCCTCCAGCTCCTCCAGAGATCCCGACAACCTCGAGAAACCTCTGGTGCCCATCCGAAATCTCCGGCGATATGCGAACATGTGGACATGCAGCCTGCGTCAAGGCGCCGCGGGGGCGCTTCACGGGGGCGCTGGGGCGCCGCAAAGGGAAGACACGGTGAAACAAGGGAGGGGGAGCCAGGGGCGATGGGCAGGAGAAGAGACAGACCAATGGTATACAATATGAGAGTCTACAATTAAGATGCCAGTCGCTGGTCAACGAAACCTGGCTATACTTAGCCCCCTCCTTCTGCGCCTGCAGGACTCAATAACAATGTTGGGGTCCTTGGCGGATTCTGGGCCGTTTGATGCGTGTTGTGTGTCGCAACACATCGTCCCACCATCATGTCTTCGACCGTTCCACCCGTCGTCGTGTCTAGGTCTGCGCATCCCATTCGGGATTCCACTGTAAACCTGCTTGTGCCCACTCCTTCGTCGTACTCGTTGCAATCTGACGACCCAATCCCATTTACGTTGCTTGCATAGTGAGTTCCAATCAGCAAGCCCATGGTTGTAATCCCACCAGCCCTGTAAGGTGTGAGTGGTTTAGACCGTTCCATCTTCCACCCCCTCTTATTCTCCTCGAGGGAGGGGTTCACACATCCCCTTATCCCCTCCCCCTGGATCTGGAGGAGGCGTTTCGCGGGTCGCTGGGGCGTACAAGATGGCCTCGGCGAGGAAGCCCAAATCATTGATCTTATTAAGGCATTGGCCACATGCTGGCCTCCTGGGGGCGGGCCTAATTTTGGAGCTCCCCTCCTCTGATGGATCTCCGCCACGATGGCCCAACGATGGCCCCCAATGCCCGAAGAGGTACCCAGGAGGACCCAAAAGGCCCCCCAAGAGGCCTCCAAGAGGCTCCCCAATAAACCCTTAAGAAACCCCCCTGAGGCACCGACAACGCCCCACGAGGCCAACATCACAGATTTTACTAAGGTTTAGTTCACAGTTAGGCCTCCTGTGGGGGGGACTCTGATTAAGAAGCCCCTCTCCTTCACTCGATCTCCTCCAAGGTGGCCCCAAGGTGGCACCCGAGGCTCCCAAGGGTACTCAAAAGCTGCGTGGGCGGGCAGAAGGAACGAACCCTCTTCTGGCTAGGGCGCCGCTGGGCCAAGACGGTCCCAAGAGGTGCCCAGGATGTCCCAAGAGGCCCCCAAGATGCCCGCAAGAAAATTCCACGAGACCCCCAAGAGGCCTCCCAGAGGCAGCCAAGATGCCCCAAGAGGCCTCGGCGAGAAAGCCAACATCGCTGATTGGACAAAGGTTTTGGGCCTCCTGGGGGGGAACCCTAAGTAAGGAGCTTCCCTCCTTTGATCAATCTCTCTCAGGATGGTCCGATGCTCCCAAGAATGCCCCAAGATGGCTCCAAGGGATGCCCAGAAGACCCGAAGAGGCCCCACGATGTCCCCAAGATGCCCCCAAGAGGCTCCCAAGAGACCCCCAAGAGGCTCCAAGAGGCCACCCAGAGGCACCCAAGACGCCCCAAGAGGCCTCGGGACTGCCAAGGGACCCCAGGGCGCTCCAACAGGACTCCAAGAAACTCTCGAATGAAATCCGAAGCGACACCGAGAGGCACCCAAGAGGTCTCTGGTCTCTCTGATCGCCCTTCCCCCCCTCCTCCACTTCCTCCTCCTCCTCCTCCTCATCCGCCTGTTCCTCCTCCTTCCTCGTCCCTCCTCCCCCTCCCCCTCTCCCTAGTCCTTCTCCTCCTCCTCCTCCTACCCCATATCCTCCGCATCCTCCTCCTCTTCCTCCTCCTCCTCCTCTTCCTCCTCCTCCACCTCACCCTCTTGCTCCTCCTCCTCCTCCTCCTCCTCCTCCTCCTCCATCCTCCCCCGCTTGGGGTACGACTTCTTACCCAACCCTGTTCTCCTCAGCATTATACTCCACATCCCTGATCAGGGCAGCTCGTCTGGACATCGCTTCTGGATGGGCTGGTGGGGCTACGCGAAGCGTCTAGAAGTCTATTATCTGCGTATGGTGCTGCATGTCTAATCTATTCTGACCAAAGTTCCAGGAATCCCTCCCAACAGTACCGTCCAAGACTCCCCCTTCGAAATATCCCATAAAGTCCAAGAACATGTCCCTCCTCCTCGCAATCGACCCCCTGGACTTGCCCAAGAATGCGTCTTCAACAAGATTTCGGGGCGGATCCAGCCGTGGCGACAAGAGCGGACCAAGAAACCGTACAAAACACTCCACTTGGCATGCCCGGAGTGGGTACGGAACAAAAGGGTACAATTGCCAGCAGCAAAGGTGGTCCAAATCCGACAGCGGCAGCTGGTGAACAGGCGACTATTTGCCTCAAGTGGACAACGTCCGCACCGACACCGACAACAACTCCTGCTCAACGTGGGCAGGAACTGCAATCGGTCTTCGTCCCCATTTTCCAGACCAGCTTCGACTGTACCTCCTCCATCCCCTGCTCCTCCTAGCTCCTGGCTCCTGGCTCCTGGCTCCTCCTCCTCCTCCTCCTCCTCCTCCTCCTCCTTCTCCTAGCTCCTCGCTCCTCCTCCTGGCTCCTCCTCGCTCCTTGCTCTTCGCTCCTCGCTGGTCCTCGCTCCTCCTCGCTCCCCCGCGCTCGGGCCGGCTCCTCGCTCCTTGCTCCTCGCTCCTCCTCGAGACTCCTCGCTCCTTGCTCGCTCCCGCGCGCTCGGGCCGGCCTGCTCGTACACCCGGCACGCCACGACCAGCGTGTCTTCCGCAGGCTGCCCGCCCCGGGGCGGCGCCCGCCGCTCGCGGACGCAGCCCAGGAAGCGGTACGCCCCGGGCGCGTCCAGCGTGACGCCCACCTTGGGTCCGAGGCTAAGACCGCGTCCCTGACCTGATCTCGAGCACGCAGAAAGAGAGAGAGAGAGAGACAGAGAGAGAGAGAGAGCGATAGAGAGAGAGAGAGAGAGTGAGTAAAAGAGAATCGAAGCAGTGTGTGTGTGTGTGTGTGCCCGACGCGCTAGCGAAGTGTCGCACGAGTAACGCCTCCCAGGGCCCCACACGTGAAGACACTCCTGTTTCGGTACCTTCCTGGCGATCAAGGCTAAAATGGACTGGAACATGATAACCTGAGGCTGGGATTGTTTGTTCAAGCTTGAAGACAATTTGTTGTTGCTTTTCTGGCGATAGCCCGGATTGTCCGGGGGGTGGGGTGCGGAGGTGCCGGCCGAGAACCTACCCCTTTTGCGTTGGGCAGCCCCACGTATGCCCGCGCGCACCAGCACTGCCCCCCCTCCCCACTTCGGACCTGTGCAGTCGACCAGGTCAGGTTATCAGAGAGGGGGGAGGGGGGGGGGGCGGGCTCGATAACCATCGGCTTCTGTGGACCCTTGAAAACACTCTCGGTTGAGGTTGGAAGTTTCGAAGTTTTCGGACGTTTTCGCTGGTTCTCGGCGGCATCCCAGCCTCGGGATACCTTCCAGCGGCTGCCCCTCGCCGAAGGTCTTCCGGGGGGCCCCCAGATCGTCCAGAACGGTCACTGGAGGCCCGAGCTGTGCCCCGAGAACAGCTGGGGGACAGGCTCAGGTGGGAAAACATCGGGCTGGAATCGGCCGTATATCGACGATGGATCGGCGACGGGCCCCGATAGCGAAGCCGCACGATCCTGGGCGGGGTGGGCTGTCGGACCCTTCTCGGCGATCAGTGGGCGATCGGGACACGCTGCACTCCCCCCCCCCCATGAGCCTGTCCCGACGCCTGGTGGCTCTGGCACCCCCAGACGGCCATCGGCGAGACGCAACTGCTGCAGAGCATCGCGAGGGCAACAAACCGACGAGAACCGACGAAAACGCATGGAAACCGTGAGCCCCTCGGGCCTCGAACCCGAAACCTTCCCCTCCCGAACGTTGCCCCTGACCACCTCCTCGAAGCACTCCCGCGCCGCGGCCTCGTGGTCGCTCTCGCCCGCCTCCGCATGGCCGCCGGGCAGCGCTACCTGGATGCGGGCGGTAAGAGAAAATCTGCCTGCACAGGCTGGCAATAAAATGCACGGGTCTGAGGGAAACGGGTACTCCGGGGGCCTTCCCATGGGACGCACAAGGACGTAATAGTACTGTGTGTATTCCTCGGGGGCGTGCGTCGGACCCGATCATAGAATGCAGACATCTTGTAGGATATCGTCTCCCGAGCGGTATGGCCCGAACGCGGCGCCTACCAGGAAGCTTGTACTATAAGATGTCTCGACACCCGAAATGGGTACGGGAAAATTGGTTGCAGGGGCGATGCCCAATAATTACTCACTGCGTGGAGCTCCCCAAATTTGCATCTCATGTTTTATGTCATGCCACAGTGAGCGTCTGTTCATGAGCGTCCTACCCCCTGACGGCTCCCCTGTTCATGAGGGTCCTACCCCCTGGCGGCTCCCCTTAGGGGTGCTGAAACCAGCGCCCCGCCTGAGACATCCTCACAATCTGCTCTGAAAGCAAAGAATGTTCGGCATGAAAACGAGCAAACCGCCTGAGACATCCCCTTAGGGGTGCTGAAGCCAGCGCCCCGCCTGAGACATCCTCACAATCTGCTCTGAAAGTCAAGGATGTTGGGCATGAAAACGAGCAAACCGCCTGAGACATCCCCTGAGGGGTGCTGAAGCCAGCGCCCCGCCTGAGACATCCTCACAATCTGCTCTGAAAGCAAAGGATGTTGGGCATGAAAACGAGCAAACCGCCTGAGCCATCCCCACAAACTGGCCGCGAACGGGCCCGTGAGAACACCCCTGGCGGCTCCCCTTAGGGGTGTTGAAGCCAGCGCCCCGCCTGAGACATCCTCACAATCTGCTCTGAAAGCAAAGGATGTTGGGCATGAAAACGAGCAAACCGCCTGAGACATCCCCACAAACTGGCCGCGAACGGGCCCGTGAGAACATTCCTGGCGGCTCCCCTTAGGGGTGCTGAAGCCAGCGCCCCGCCTGAGACATCCTCACAATCTGCCATGTGTTGAGTAACTCAGACTATGATAAGTCTGAGTGTGAGTAGGTCTGAGTATGAGTAAATCTGAGTATGAGTAAGTCTGTTTATGAGTAAGTCTGGGTATGAGTAAATCTGAGTATGAGTAAGTTTGTGTATGAGTACGTCCGGGTATGAATAAGTCTGAGTATGAGCAAGTCTGTGCATGAGTAAGTCTGTGTTTTGGGTGTGTTCTTGTTCTCTGGAGTCGGCGGCGTTTGTCCAGCACGGGCGGCGGTTTCCGACCCATTTCGGGTCAGCAGTCGACCGTTCGGGACAATCTGGGCATCTTCCCCGAACGCGCTCGAAGAGGCTGAAAAACCGCTGGGAGCCCAAGAACATTGTCGAAAAGGTCGGAACTCGATTCCGGCAAAGTCGTCCAAACCCGCATTGCTCCCGCGCCGCGCTAGGCAGAGTGGAAAGCCACACAGGGCAATTCCTGAACGAGCGTGCTGATCACCTGGCCGAGTGGCCCTGCTGATCTCCATCGCTGAGCGGGCCGTTCTGGCTAATCCACCTGGGCACAGAAAAAAGAAAACACCCAATTTCGTTTCCTCAACCACGCCGAGCCCCCTGGCGGCGGCTCTGTGGCGTGCTTCGCGCGCCAAGGAAGGGGGGTCGGCGCCGATGCAAGAAATCTTGGCGGAACTGCGCAACTTTATGCTGACAAAGCACGAGCGGTTAGAAGAGAGGAACAGACAAGGGGAATAAAGGGCGAATCCGCTCAAAATCGATCCCCAGACCCATCCCATGGTCCAAGTGGTGCAATTTGTCAACCTGGATCCGTTTTCGACGGTCCCTGGGCCCGAAAACAGGCCCCGGACAAGAAATATGCGAACAAAACAAACTCAGAGCCTCGAACTTCGCCCCCCCCCTTCGTCAGAACCAATGCTGGGCCACCTCAGACCCTCACCCGGCTCCAACGAGGGAAGGAGGAGGAGGAGGAGGCGGAGGAGGCGGAGGAAGGACCCCAAGGTGTCTTGGACTCGGGTTGGCCTGACGGGGCCGTTAGGGGAAATGACGAGACTCAATCCGAAATTTGGCGCGAACTCCCGATGCAAACATCCAACGAAAACTAGACCGTCAAAATTCGAAACGACGGCGTCAAACAACGTCGGCAAACCATAGTCCCTGCGAACTCAAGTCTCACATTCCCTCGATAAAGACTGCCTGGCCTCTCGGGCTCGGCCCTTGCTGCCTCTGCGGGCGGTCACCCTGGAGTCGCAGCCCAGGGAGGAGGGACGGGAGGAGGAGGAGGAGGAGGAGGGAAAGGAGGCGGAGGCTTGGGCAAGGAAGAGGCGGGTGAGGAGGAGGAGGAGGAGAAGGCGGAGGAGGAGGAGGAGGAGGATGCGATGCGATGCGATGCGACCAACGTTTCGGAGAATGTCCCGGCCTAGCTCAGACCAGGTGGGCGAGGCCGTGATCTCGAGAATCTGGCTTGTCTGGATACATGCAATGAGAAACACATTCAAAGCTTGGAGGATGAAGCTTGGGCCAGGAGGGGAAGGATAATGAGGAGGAAGAGGTGGGACGGGAGAGGATGATGATGAGGATGAGGATGCATATGACGATAATGATGAGTATGATTATGCTGATGATACTTGCGATGCTGACGATGACGATGACGATGATGCTGATGGTGATAATTGGTTGGCCTTCTTTCTATCGGCTTGCCGATGGGGAAACTCAACCTGCATGAAACTCATAATGTATTGTCACAAAGGCTTTTGAAATGTTCCCCGCGTGCCTGCGCAGCCGTGTCGTAACTGCGCTGCCGCGTCACTCAGCTCTGGCGGCGCTTGCGGCAAGCTTGTACATGACCAGTGCAACCCGATTCAATGCAATTTGATAGGACAGAAGACATCGCAACTTCCACGACCTGCTGCGCTCCTACAAGCTCAGCGCGAATCGCCGTGCCGTGGCCCAGCGGCAGTGAGCACTCGGCGAGCGTCCGCGGGCCAGGATCTCCGCAGATGCTGCCGACGCAGCCCATTCGGCCATCGCAGCCCATTCGGCCATCGCGGCAGGATCCGTCCCAGAAACCGCGAGGCCCAGCTTCTGCCCGTCCGACAGGAAGTGGACAGCAAGTTCCGCGCCCTGTGCAACCTCGTGGGCTCTGTTGGCCAATTGGTCGGCCTCTTGGTTATATTCTCTGCATCTGTGGTGGAGCCAGGAGGAGAGAGGACAAGGAGGGAAAGCGACGCTTTCTGTCCAATCGAAAACAACTGTTGTATATGACGCACTACGGGCGAGTGCCAGGAATATCTACACCTGAGATGATGATGCTGCTGATGATGGTGGTGATGCTGATGCTGATGCTGATGATGAGGATGAGGCTGAGGCTGAGGCTGAAGATGATGATGCTAATGGTAATTCTGATGATGATGAGGAGGAGGAGGAGAAGGATGAAAATGATGCAGATGATGCTGCTGATTATGCTGATTCCGATGATGAGGATGATGATGCGGGAGGAGGAGGACGGAAGGAGGAACGGGAGGAGGAGGGACGGGAGAAGGAGGAACGGGAGGAGGGATGGGAGGAGGGACGGGAGGAGGAGGAACGGGAGGAGGAAGAGGAAGGAAGAGGAGGAACGGGAAAAGGAGGAACGGGAGGCGGGAGGAGGAGGAGGAGGAGGAGGAGGAGGAGGAGGAGGAGGAGGACGCCTGACCGCCCCAGCGGCGGCCCGCGGCGCTCGCCCCCGGCGGCGCGGGCGCCCGCAGGATGAAGCAGACCTCCGCCGGCTCTCGCCGCCGCGGTCGGCCGGGCCGCTCCCGCGAGGGCGCTGCGGGGGCGGCCCGCTCTGTGGTGCACTGTGCGGCCGAGGAGCGGCCACAGGAGCAGGGCTGAGCCTGAACGATGTTTTTCGTTTTCGTTTTGTTCTCGTTTTCCCTCGTTTTGTCTTCAATCCGCCTTTACCGCAACACGACATCGAAACGAAAACGGCCCAAGAAATCGCAAAAACACCGTTTAGGTCCAGCCCTGATGCCCACATCGACTGCGTCTTGGAGTTTCGGGCTCCCTTCCCCAGAAACCCAAGGCGCACTGGGTACGGATGAACATCTTGCCCCAGAGGCTCGACTTTTGTTGAGCATGGACCGACCAGCCCGGCATTTCTATAGGCTAGAACCCGAACATGTTCTAAGAACAGAAGCAATGTTCTTAGAACAAAAACCCGAGGTATTAAAACACGACAGTCTCGGCCAGAAATGTTCTAAGAACATGTCGTGGAAACCACAAGAGGTTCTTAGAACACTGTTTGGTAGGCCTATAAGGCACGCCAGGACGCTTCGGTACTGCTTGATTTTACCCATGTCCAGTGCGCCTCGGCTGGCCATGCCCATCCTGGGCCCAGGAGTCGTGCATGCGCCCCCCTGGCTCGGCCATGGAGGCATATATGCACCGCTCCTGGGCCCGGGATGGGCCTGGCCATCGGCGGTGAATGCGTCTAGATCTCCTCGGCATCGATCAAGGACATCTTGGGGAGCACCTCCTGGGACGTCTTCGTAAGAACGGTTCGGGCCGACCCCGCGCGGTCCGTCACCCCATCTTGGGACCTCCTCGGAGGCCCGGCCGACCGAGACGTCCTTGGAGAAGGATGCGAGCCCCGAATCCTTGCGGTGACCCAGAATGTTGATGGTTTCCGGGCCATGTCTCCAGCGGCCGTTCGGGACAACCTGGGACCCCCCGGAACGCTCTCGGCGAGGCGCGGCCGCTGGAAAGCATCCTGAGCCTAGAAACCCCCAGGAACCGACGAAAGCGTAGGAAAACACCCAATCCCCACGGACTCATCACGCGGCGCCGTTCGTTCGGGACGACCCGGGCACCCCCGGAACGCTGTCGGCGGGGCGCAACCGCTGGAAAGCATCCTGAGGCTGCAAACCCTTAGGAAGCAACGAAAACGTATGAAAATACCAAATCCCCACTGATTGACCACGCTGTGTGGTCACCAGACCGCATGGTGGCCCCCGACACTCTTGGCCGCCCGATAGCGTCGGGCGTTGCTTGATGGGGGGGGAGCGATTTACAGCGGGACCCAGGATAGAAGAACATCCTTCAAGAACATGAGACCCGCCGCCGGCCAAAACACACAGAACATCCAAGGGTATCCTCGCCAGGATGCACAAAAACATGCAACAAACACGAAGAACATTAGGGTACCCTCCCCGAACCGACCTCGATCTTATACCTCGGTCCGACTGTAAACGGGGGGGCAAACGTGCACCTTCCGCGCCCTTGGGCCCCAGGGGTTCCTTTCGCAACGCCAGAAAGCGGCCCCCCATTAACGTCTGGCGGCGCGCACAAGGGGGTATAGAGGGAGGGGAGAAGGCTTCGTAGAAGGAGGCTGCTTCTTGGAAGGCGCGGGCCTCATTTAGAGATGCAAGGCTGGCGCCTTGAGAAGCAGCCCCCTTCTGAGAAGCCTTCCCCCCTCCCCCTCTCCCCCCTTCTGCGCGCGGCTGACATTCATCGCCCCCCGATTACGTAACGCCCGAAAGCGCCCCCCCCCTTCTGGGGAGACCACAAGGTACCGACACCGCTTCTCCCCAGACCTCTCCCGGGGTGCGTTCTGACCAGGATTTCGAGGCGAATCCAGTGGTGGCGACGAGGTCCTCCCAGGAGGCCCGGCAAGGGGAACACGAGGGAAGGGTATAGCGGCATGGGTACATTATCCTCCCCCGGGCGAACTCCAGCCTCCTGAGAAGGTTCGGAAAGCCTCCCCGAAGACAAAGAACACCTCCCAAAAGCCAGAGGGCATACAGCACGGGTACCTCTAGCTTCGGGGGCGCGCAAACATGGATTAGCGATCCATGGATTTGGCGCGCGGTCGCCGAATCCATTGATCGGAAGCGGTGCCCTCCCCAGAATGCGGCCAGTGCCGCCTCGCTCGGCGGCGGGAATCCGCGGTTTCCCATGGAAACGGGATCGTCGCTAATCCACACCCCCTTAATCCATGTTTGCGCTCGCCTTACTACAGCCCTGAAACCCCGCGCGCGAGATGCTCACGGGGGGAAGCCGGGAGCATCCTGAACGCAACAGCTTCTCCAACGGCTGCGGGAAGCCATCGCGCAGCGCGCGGAGCGAAGAAACCCAGGATACCCTGACAAACAGAAGATGGTTTCTTGATGCGTGCCCCCACTGTACAGCACGGGTACCTCTAGGTCTCCTCCTCTGACCATTCGCGTCCCCTCCCCTCTGACCTCCTCTTGATCCATGTCTGCGATCGTCTGACTCCAGGGGACAGATTGAGATAAGGAGAGGCGCCATGCAATTCGGGGAGATCTCATGGCCCCCGCCATGAGATCCCCCCCCCCTCTGGTCGTCACCCCCCCTCCTGGCCGCCCCCGAACCATTCGCGCCCCCCTCCAGGGCGGCTCCCGCCGACCGCGGCCCTGCCGGGTCGCGCGGCTCCCTGCGTCGTGAGCAGGGCGGCGGGCCGAGGCAGCGGCGGCGGCGCCCCGCTCGAGAGCTGTCCCTTGGGCGCTCCCTGCGTCGCCAGGGAAGCTCCGCTCCCAGGGGATGTTCAGGCGGCGAGCGGAGGGGGGGGAGGTGAGAAAGAGAAGGCCTTCTCAGAAGGCTCGGAAGTCCCTGGGCCTTCGGAGAAGCTTGCCAAACCCTCCCCGAAGGCGCAGAACACTTCTCAGAAGGCGCGAGGGCTTCTGAGAAGTCCCGCCGCCTTCTGAGAAAGCATTCTCCTTCTCATCTCCCCCCCTCGCTCGCCGCCGAGATATGTCGACCCCTATCCCAGGCTTCGTGGTTTCTCAAGAGGACGAAGAATCTGGGGCCCAACCCTGGGACATGCGATGGGGGGGCGTCCATCCTGGCTAGGGGTGCGTCCGATTAGCCCCTCATTGGGGTGCATCTCACAATTTCCCATTTTATCGGGGCGGCTAAACTTTTTGGGGCGGAAGTCGGGGATTGGGGGAGAACAGAGCGCGTTTCTTCATGTTCGGCGATGACGGGCATCATGGGGGGGGGGCGGGGGGGGTATGACGTGACGGCCCCCCCCGGCCGTGTGGCTCCGGCACCACAGCCGTGCCCGCGCGCACGACGCGACGAGCACCGAGCGACGAGCGACGAGCGACGACGACGACGCGAGCAGAATGTAAGTGGCGATCTGCCCATTGCGCCCGTGTGCGCCACACCGCTCGCGTGCACCACATCGCGCGTGTGCACCACAGCGCCTGCGTACACCGCAACAGCCGTGTGCAACGCACCGCCCGCGTATACCACAAAACTTGGGAACTACAGCGCTGGTGTACATACCCCGCAGAAGCCATGTGCAACACAACGCCTGTGTACACCACAGTGCTTGCGTGCACCGCAGCGCCTGTGCACGCCACAGCGCCTGTCTACATCACAGCCTCCGCGTGCAACGCAGCGCTGGTGTACACCACAGTGCCTGCCTGCATAGGACAGGTAGAAGAAGCATGTACGTCAGGATCTGCTGCGGACATTAAAAGCCACGCCAGGAAAGTTCTGAGAATCCGCCGACCCCTTGGGGATCATCGGCGTGTGAGATGCTTCCCCCTCCCCAAACCCCTCCCCCGGGAGCCCGGTCCGGTCGATTTGGAGGGGGGGGGGTCCGGGACGAGCGCAGCCGGCCGGGACGAGCGGTTCACGGGGCTTTTCCGGGCCCAAGAGGGCCTCAAGACGGGCCAAAAAGCCCCCAAAAGGCCTCCAAGACGGCCCACGAAGGCCCCGAGACGCCAAACGACCGCTCCAAGACGCCCGAGATGGCCCCAAGACGGGCCAAGAGGTCTCCAAGACGGCCCCCGAGGTCCCAAACAAGCCTCCCAAGAGGGCCCCAAGAGTCTAAAATTGTTGATTGTCCATCGTGTTTTTCGATGTTTTTTGCTTTTCCGCCTTTTCGGCTTCCCGACGCTCCAAGACGGCCAAAGAGGCCCCAAAGACAGCCCCAAGATGGCCCAAGAGGCCCCCAAGACGGCCTCCAGACGGCCCAAGACGGCCCCAACACGGCCCAAGAGGTCCCCAAGACGGCCCAAGAGGGCTCCAAGACGGCACCAAGAGGGGCCCAAGAGGGCGACCAAACATGTTCAAACTCTAGCTTTCTGCCCCCAGGAACCCCAGGAGGCCCCAAGAGTGCCCCAAGAGGCCCCCAGAGGCCCTCACGAGGCCGCCAAGACGCCCCAAGGAACCCCCAAGAAGCACCCCAGAGGCTCCGAAACGGCCCCCAAGTGGCTCCAAAACTCGCTTCCAGAGGCCCCCGAGAAGCGTGGCCTCGCACATGGCCAAGTTGACCCATCATGACTCCTGGGCAGTCCCCCCAAAAAACTCCCGACCGCTACCGAAACGGCTCGAAGACATTCCCGAGCCCAACCTGGCTCCATTATGCCTCTCAGATGGCCCCAGATGAGACCACGACCGCCCGCGGTGTCGCCGTCCGCTCGGACCCCCCCGCGGAACTGCCCGAGACCCTCTGGCGGTGGCGGCGAACAGACACCAAACAAATATCACTCGCCTTTTCACCCCTTTCGCAGCTTCTACTACCCCCAGATTGGCATATAAACAAGGGGTCGGCGGTGTGGCGTAAGCCTAAGAATCGAATGAGACGTTTTTCCCGAACCCCCCTCCTCCTCCACCTCCTCCTCCTCCTCCTCTTCCTCCTCCTCCTCCTCCTCCTCCTCTTTTTCCTCCTTCTTACCCCCTGTCGTGCGGTTTGGCGTTGCAACGCACGTGCGCATCTCAGCGTGCACCGCAAAATGGTCGATTGAATCGGTCCAATTGGTTCTCGGACGGGCAATTTAGCTGGAGCCTCCTGGGCGCAAATGGGAGTTAGGGTGATGCGGGCGGATTCGGGGAGACTCGTGGATTCCAGCAGCGATCCTTTGTCAATGAGGATTTGTTTTCCATTGTTTTCTGTGGGATCCACACGCGCTCCATTTTGTCACAAGGATTCCTTCTGAAATTCTATATACAACAGTGGTGGCATTGTGGTGTACACTGGTGTATTGCGCACGGCTGATGTGGTGTACGGAGGCGCTGTGGTGTACACAGGAGCTGCTGTGCCCGCAGGCACGGTGGCGCAAACTGACGCTGTGTTGCACGCGGCTGCTGTGGTGTACATAGGCGGTGTGGTGTACACAGGCGCTGTGGTGCACGCGGGCACTGTGATGTACACAGGCGTTGTGGTGCATGCCGCCACCTACATGTTCGTGCTACCCGTCCTCCGTCATTCCTAAGCATTCCCAGACGCCGCCGGCGCGAAACATGACGTCATCGCCCCCTCCCCCCCCAGATGATTGCCGTCATCGGCCCGGACTTGAAAACAGGCTTCGGCCGCGTCCGCGCGCACAACGACGATGAGCGACGAACGACGAACCACGAGCGACGACGACGGACAACGACGACGACGACGAAGACGACGACGACGACGCCTGCGGACCAGACACCTATGCGAATTCCTACGCGGACACCTATGCGGATCCCAATGCGCACGGCGGCAGTGCCCGGAGCGCACTGGGGGGGGAGCGTTACGTTAATGTAGGGGAGGGGGGGGAGCGGGGGCCATGACGCCCGTCATGCTCCAAACAACAAAGAAACGGGCTCAAAATGGTCTGCGATCCACCTCCACTGCGGCGGGGACGTGTCCCAGGGACCCGGGTAGCGGTGGACGTGGATGTCTGACGTGACGTGTAGCCTCGTCTCTACCAGAAGGGTGTAATGACCGAGCCTGCGCGCGCGCACGATTATTCTGGCAGGGCCCGAGTGACCGAAAATCCCCAATCAGTGCTTGCACTGAGAAAGTGAAAGAGTTGGCGAAAATTTCCCGCCAATTGCTGGGTTCCCGGGTTCCCGGTGCCGGGTTCCCAGGTTCCCGGTTATTGGTTCGGGGCCGATTTCGGTGGGTTCTGGGTTCTTGGGCTCCCGGGTTCCTAGTCGATCTCCTCAGCGAAAACCATCCACTGACTCCCGGGTTCCCGGTCGATCTCCTCATTGAAAACCATCCACTGATTGGGTTTTTTCTCTGTTGCAATGTGTTATTCCAAGCCAATGCGAGTGCTATGTCGGTCACAAGTTCGGTCACACTACATGTTCGGTCAGAATTCCTCTTGGTCACGTCACGGTTCACGCCGGCGCCGCCTGTGAATCAGCCCCTCTTACTGTACGCACTCCCAGACGGCGCCAGCGCGAATCGTGACGTGACCAAGATGCCCCCTCCCACCAACCCCTTCTCCAGGTCACGCCCGTTATCGCCACGGGATAGACCCAGGGCCTCTGTGGAGGCCTGGAGAGTGGCATCAACACCAACACAGGGGGGTTGCCTCCACAGGGGAAGATGATGATCCTCGACTTCGGTGTTGGTGGTAATATTTCGGTCACCTTGGTAACCATAATAGTACCACCATCACCGAGATCCGGATCTTCTTCCCTCGGTGTAGGCACATTGCCAATATTGGTGATGGTGCCAACCTCTAGGCATGCGATCTCTTCCTCACGCCCCCGCGGGTGACCCACAACGCCCAGGGGAGGACCGCCGTCTGTCTCGACCTGGGCCCCTCTCCGGCCTCAGCAAGCAGGCCACCACGGCGCGGCGGCCGCCCGGCAGCCTCTCGGCGGCGGCCGCAGCAGGGACGGGCTCGCCAATGGGGTGGGGGCACCAAGGCCGCAAAAGTATGGGGGGCACGGCAGGTTGGCAGGTTCGTGCGGCGACGACCAGCCTTGAACGATCGCGGCTTCCCGATACCGCAAATCGTCAGATGTCAGCCGGCTGCGGGCCACCGTCGGCATGCAACCTTGAGCGCCCGTGCTGGGGTCGCCGCCGCGTCAACGCGGCGCGAACCTGCCGCATGGTAGGACTTCGCGACATTACGATGCAATCAACGGCGGCGTGATCTGCCCTGTTCGTTGCGCACCGCACAGGCGCCCGCAACATTCACAATTAGCGTCTGTCATTGGCGATGCCGGTCCTGTGTATACAACGCGAAAAGCTCAGCGCGTGAAAACTGGTAGCCGAAGTGATTGCGCTTCCAGGGTGCAGACCCAAAACTACGTTGTGCATTCTCAGAGAACGAAGTAGTTCCCGCATTATGATCTGCCTTTAAGGCGTACTCTATTTCGGTGAATTCCCCCAAACGGTTTGACGAACGGGAATCGGTTCGGCAATTCAAAGATCACTTCCTTCGCTATTGGAATTTTCGGAATCACGCGCTTGGCAATCGGACCTTCGTGCACCGGTTCGGTGCCCTAACCTGCCCACCCTGTCCACCCGGACAGCGGGGGTCTCTGGATGGTACCGCAGCTCTGGCTGGCCGACGGCGCACCACCCCTGCCTCAGTCTGGGGCCGCCGTGCCTCGGGGACCCTCAGCCACACCACCCAACGCGCTGCGCGCAGCCTGTTGCCGCCGGCGCGGCCCCGGCGTTGCCGCCCCGCCTGCGGGGTTTCCTGCAGGCGGGGCGCTGCTCCTCCCCGTTATCCCTCCCCCCCTGCCCGCTCTCCCTCCCTCCGCGCGCCGCGATGGCGCCTGGGCTGCTGCCTGCAGCCGCCACGCGTTCGGGATCCTGGCCCTGGTCCTGCCGCCCGTCCCCCGCGCTGGCCCAGCATGTTGCTGGATGCGTTCCGTCAGGATGCAGCTGGACTTTCTGCACCTTCCGCGCCCTCCCCTGGGCGGCGCGCGGCCCGGCGGCCTGGCACTGCGTACGCTTCGTTGGCTACACGCTGCTCTGACTTGCAGTTCCCGCACTGGGCCCCGCCTCAGAAGGTGCACCGGCGCAGCTGCCGCCTCAGTCCCCGCCGGCGGCGCTGGCCGCGCCGACGCACCCAGGGAAGTGATCCGTCCCCCCTGAGTGGCCGTCGCCTTACCTCCCGCTCTCTGCGGCCGCCTGCTCTGTTCCATTTTCCAGCTCTTGCATGTTAGCCAATTCGCTACAACGGTGCCCCCGTTTAGTTAGCTCCTTCCACCCGCGCAGACGACCCCTGCCTGGCCGCCGACGCAAAGTGTTTGGCAATCGGACGTCGTGGAATCCCGCCAGCCCTCTGGGATTAGGTAGGTGGTCTAGAGAACATCCTCTTCCGACCCCCTTCTTCCCCTTCGGGGGTGGGCTTACTCCTCTCACATTACCCTCTCCCTTAGACTTGGTCGGGGGGGTTCGCAAGGGGTTGAAACAGATGGCCCAAGACGGCTCCAGGCGCGCCTCAGAGAGCCTAAGATGACCTCCAAGATGGCTCAAGATAGCCCAAAATGACTCAAGATGGCTCCCAAGATGCTCCAAGAGGCCCCAAGAACGCTCCAAGACGGCTCCAGGTGGCCACGGAGCCTCCCCAGGAGGCCCAAATGTTCTCGCCGTTTCCCTTCCGATGGCCTTCCGAGGTCTCAGGATGGCTCCGAAATGACCCGAGGGGGCTCGACGAGGGGGACAAGAAGCCTCCAAGACGGCCACAAGAGCGCTCCAAGAGCGCCCTGAGAGGCGATTGTTTGGGCTCATGAGGGAGGTCCCTAATTCAAGCTCCCCTGTTTTGATCGATGCCTTCTAAGATGGCTCCAAGAGCGCCCCTAAAGCTCCCAAGAGTGCCCAAAGAGGGCCCCGAAAAGGCGCGCAGACGGCCCCGACAGGCGCCCAAGGGGCCTCCAAGAGGCTCCCAAGAGACCCCCAAGATGCCTCAAGAGGATCCCCGAGGCACCCAAGACGCTCAAATAATGCCCTGGGCTCGTCAAGATGCCCCCCCAGACGCCCAGAGAGGCCTCCAAGAAAACTTCCAAGCGACATCCGAGGAGACATCGAGAGGATTCAATGGATTTTGGCTCTTCTGTTAGCCCTTGTCCTCCTTTTCCTATTCCTCTTCCGTCTCTTCCTCCTCCTCCTCCTCCGCCTCCTCCTCTTCCTCACATTCATCGTCCGTCCCCCTCCTCATCCATCATCCCTCCTCCTCCTCCTCCTCCTCCTCCTCCTCCTCCTCCTCCTCCTCCTCCTCCTCCTCCTCCTCCCCCCCCTCCTCCTCCCCCTCCTCCTCCTCCTCCCTCGAACGATAACGTATGTCCCTCACTTTGCTCATACGCTTCTAAGCTCGTCTCAATAAGCCTGGGCGTTGGTTTTGGATGGGGTGGTGGGAACTGTTTTGGTCGCGGCCGCAAAAGAAAGCGCAGGCGCAAGCGGCGTCACGGGTCGACCCGGGCTACGGGCGGAACCTAATTATCCAGCGAGCGCACTCACGGCTGCCAAAGCTGCCGCCGAGGGACGCTCAGAGGCGCCGCGGGCTGAAGGCAGGCTGCAGGGGCTGCCAGGTGTGCCAGGCGGCCGAAGTGCAGTCATCCCAGAGGCGAGATCACCGGGAAGACGAACGAATTGTACCCTGTCGCGCCAGGCGCCAGAGGTAGTCGTGCCACCGAGCGTGGCAAAGCGCGGGGCTGCGCAAGCAGTCCGGTTTACCAGTGCCGCTGAAACAGAAGGCTATCCTGAGCAATCCACGTAGGGGCGCGTCCCACCATTGCAAGCGGCAGCTGCAAACACGGCCAGGCTGTGGCGGTGTCTGAGGACCAGAGGCCAGGAACACGCAAGCATTCTAGCCGGAGCTGGTCGACGTGCGAGTCACCGGGACGCCAGGGTGCCTCACCAGGCTCAAAGAAGCCAGCACGGATACCACTGGGCGCCAGGGACGGAGGAGGGTGGGGACAGTATTTTTTGTCCTTGCAGGCGAAGGCGCCGACGGCGTCACAAGTCAACTCGGGAGACGAGCAGAACTTGGTGATGGGGACATGCGAAGCGTCAAGAATTTTCGGAAACACGTGGTTGGCAATCGGACGTCCTGGAATGGATTGTGTGTCGCACTTCAGGTTGGACGGCATTCCCTCTGGAGCTGGAATCCATCCTTTTCACGTTTTTTGAAGCGGTAGTCACAAAGCAAACGTGGCCGAAATTAAAATGCGTCGTACTTGCGGGTATCGTGGGTAGCCTTGCAATCCGACATACTGGCGCACCCCTTTGCAACCTGTCGCCCATTTGGCGGTGGGCAAACCTCCCATTGATAAATCACCCTTCAATGAAAACGGCCTAGGACCGACACCGACAGACCTGGACCCGCACAAATGGCTGCCGCGACGCCCTCTCGCGAACCGAAAACAGCCAATTCGCTCATCGACGTGTCAGGGTAGGAGGTCCATCAACCTATCGCCCACGTCTTCGACGAGGCCCCTGGCGAATATGCGCAATCTGGCACGCGGGCGCGGCTGAGGCCGGCGCCGCTTGACTCGGCGACGGTGCGCCCCGATCGTTGCACGAAAACTCGGCCCGCCGCGAATTCACGCACCCTAGTTTTAAGTCGGGCCTGTCCCCCTACAGGGGGATTTTGGACGAAAAATTGAGAAGTAGTTTTAAAAAATACCCCAAAGCAGTCAAAAATAGTCAACAACAAATCGTCCCCATGGTAATTTGTTTTACGATTTTTGAATATTCCTCCTGTAGAGGGACAGGCCCGACTTTAACCCTAGTTCGTGTCTGCGTTCGCTCGATCTGCGCGCTGCCTCACGGAGGTCGGCCACGGGCCGACTCTTTGTCCCGGGTCTGATTGCTTGGTCCGGGGTCCCTGGGCCCTGGGGCGCAGCACGTGGGCCCCGGAGGCCGCGGTCAGGGAAGGCCGCCACGACCGAGGAGCAAACCACGCCTTCGGGGATCGGGGCCTCTGCTAGGGAGCCCTCCTGGCTGGGGTCCGAGCGGATGGGGTCGGAGGGCCGCACCCCGTCGCCGAGGTCTCGCCGATGCCCCGGCGGCGTCGGCGGCGCATCGGCGACGTCGGCGTGGAGAAAATCGGGCTCCACAGCGAGCAGCCTCGGAGACGCATCGACGATGCGGCGCGATCCTCCAGCCTTCTCTGATTCGATTCCATCTGGGAGGCCTAGCTTTCAGTCGGGCCTGTCCTCCTAAAGGGGGATTTTGGACGAAAAATAAAACATAGTCAAAAAGTACCCCCAAATGGTCAAAAAAATACACCCAAAATAGTCCCCAAACTATTTTTGACGATTTTTGAATATTCCTCCTGTAAAGGGACAGGCCCGACTTAAGCCTGGCTCTGTGAATCGAGTCGGATCGAATCGAATCGGCCTTGCGGGCCCGTGCCGTCGCTCGGACGTCCATCCCCGTGACTTGTTCCCTCTCGTGCGCGCATGTTCAACAAGATGGTCCAGGATGCTCCTCGATGGTTCAGGCCGAGAAGAACTGCACACGTCCGAGTATCGTTTATCCGACCCCCATCCCCAGCGGCGTGGCCTGGGCCCCACTGGCTGACCTACCCACCACAGATGGGGATATAGGCCGTTCCCTTCGGGTTCAGAGGGGTGTATCCCCAACTGGGGGGGGTAATTTGGTGGGGGTCTCCAAGGGGATGGGGATGGGGAGGGGGGTCGGTTGAACGATACTGAACGTCCGAACGATGACGCGGGCCAGGCCCGCCGCCGCGAGTCGCATCACACCGAGCCCGCCGCGCCTGCCGCCGGCGCCGCTGCCCGTCGGAGCGTCCGTGCCCGCCGCCGCGGGTCGGGCCGAGTTCGACTCGAACTCCATCGAACCGACTTCGAGGCCGTTCGGATCGAATCGGAAGCGAATCGAAGTCAAGAACGAAAACGAATCGAATCTTGAGCAGGGACCGACCGTCCCGGCACCCTGCCACGACATGCTCTTCGAACCAGATTAGCAAAAGCAGTCTTCTTAGAACGTGAAGCCGATGCCCTGAAACATGACAGTCTCGGCCAGACATGTTCTAACATGCTGTGCAAACCACATGAGGTTCTTAGAACATTCTTTGGTGGGCCTACGGGCAAGCAGGGACGCTTCGTCACTGCTCCAGCATCGAGCCCGCGAGTCGAATCGGCCCGCAGGCGGCCCTACCCTTTTGGAGGACGATCAATGGAGAGGAAGCATGTTGCCAACGAATTTCCAGGTGTCTAGCACATGTGCTAAACATGTTTTAAACATGTAAAAAAACATGCTCAAAACATGTTCAGACCATGCTTCCGACATATAACACACATTCACAATTCAATGATAAAACTGTCAGGGTGTCCACTGTCGTGGCATCCACCACCCTGCCCGGGGCCCCTGCGCGCCCCCGACGTCCAGCCCGACGCCGCGGCCTCGGCGGGCTGGCCCGCGCCAGGCCGGCGCGGATCTGCGAGAGCTGCTGCCGCGCAAGCGCGGCGGGGCGCGCCGCGGCCGCGCACGCCATGGGGCCGCCCCCGGGGCAGAGGAAGAAAACTGGCGGCGCGCACAGGGAGGGTAGGGGCCAGGTCGGGCATGTCCCCCTGCAGGGGGATTTTGGGCGACAAACACATATCCCCAAAATGCCCCCAAAAGGCTCCAAAATGGTTAAACATAGTCCCCAGACTATTTTTTTTCAATCTTTGAATATTCCCCCTGTAGAGGGACAGGCCCGAGTGAAGGGTAGGGGGAGGGAGGGGGTGGGGGCAAGGGGAAGAGAAGGAGGCCGCGTCTCAGGAGGCGCCGGCCCTGCATCTGCAGACAGGGCCCGCGCCTCTCTTTCAGAAGCAGCGGTACTTCGAAGAAGCCTTCCCCCCTCTCCCTGCCCCCCTCTGCGCGTGGCCGAGCTCCCGCTGCAGAAGAAGAACACATGCCAAGAACCGCGTGGAATTCCCGGATCTGCGCTGCGCATCCCTGGCGGCGCCTCCAGCGCCGCCCCTAGCGCGCTCCGCGAGGGGACGGGGGCCCGGCGCCGATCCAGAAAGTGCATGTGTAAGCAGTTAGCTGTCTGTTCTTCGACAGAGGCCCCAGTCGCGCTGGGGCTGCAGAGGAGGGGTGAGGGAAGAACGCACAAACGAACCACCACTGCGGCCAATCGTCTGGGCCCAGCTGAGACCAGGTGCTGGGACATACAAGCATACAGAGTGACTGGCAGACAAACAACAAGTCAGTGGGGTGGGGTGCAGAAGCCCTGGCTGTGGATGCCGCCGAAGTGCTCTCGTGACGGGGGATGGCAGGGGAGGGAGCGTCGGGGCAAGCGTCGGGTGGAGGAGGGAGAAAGGCATCGGGGCCTGGCGCGAGGGCTTGGCGCGCGGGCGCCAGTGGTCTGGGTCGGGGAGGGTTCCCCCAGAAGCATGAGGCCAGCGCCTCGACAAAAAAGGGGGGGTCGCCCTCCGCTTCTGGTCCTCTGCTGCCTCCAGTCGGACCCACCCAGCGGACGAGTGGGCCACGAGGAGCCTACGGGCGGAAACGTGGCGAAACCGCGCCTGACCCACCCGACGCACGAGGCGGCCACGAAGCGGCCACGGGCAGCAACGTACCGAAACCTGGCCAGACCCACCCAGCACACGAGGCGGCCAAGGACGGCCGCGGGCGGCAACGTGGCGAAATCGCGCCCGATCCACCCAGCGCACGAGGCGGCCACGAGGCTGCCACGGGTGGCAACGTGGCGAGACCTCGCAGGACCCATCCGACTCCTTACTGACAGAAGTAAGAATATCTAGGTGCGAATACTGTTTGGAGAATGAATAGGAGCAGCGGCATGACGGTGTGTGCTCATCCTGCAGGCTTCTCAAAGGCCGCCCACTCAGCAGGCGCCGAGAACCTCAGGGACCAGACTCCTCGAGATTCGATTCTTGTCCCCGCCTGGTTTCGCTGAGTGGATCATGCCATAACTTATGAGCTGCAACATGAAAAAGGTCTTTCGAACGATGACGCAGTGACCTGACGCCGCGGCTTACGCGGGCCGCCAGCGTGTCATACGCGTGAAGAAGAAAGTACTTACGCGCGGCCATGCGCGGGAAAGTTACGCGCCATTGTCCGTGCGGAGCGCTCTGGATGGGGGAGCGTTACGTCATAGGGGGGGGGCGGGGGCCATGACGCCCGTCATGCCCCACGCAATAAAGAAACGGGCTCAAAGCATTGGCGATGTTGTGTTCGGGATATTCGGTTTCCAATTTTCATGCGACACGTACGATTTTGAAAGATTTCGGCGAGCGCGCGACGACTCGTGCGTATACATGTCGTCTCATTTGTGACACGTATGTTTTGGAAACTGATGATTTTTGATGAACAAGTGCGCGCGGGGGGGAAACCAGGCCTGGCAGGGGTGGGATGAATTCAAATGTGAAATGAACGATGGGGCAGAAATCGGGGGCGTCCAAGAAGGGGCGTCCGAGAGGGGGGGCGCAAATCATGGCCGGCGGCACGTGCGCGGCCCAGGGGGGCGCCTGGGACGTGTTGAAACAAGAAAAGGCGCCATGAAATCTGGGGAGATATCATGGCCCCAGCCATGATACTCACACATGCCTAGTCATCACCCCCATCTTTGCCGCCCCCCGCGAGGCCGACTGGATAACAGGGGGAGGGTATACATCAAAATTCTCTTCTAACAAAGGAATCTCTTTGGTGCACACCTTGTTGCGGCGAACGAGGCCGCGACGAGATGGCGACGGCGACCACGGAGCCGCCAGACTCTGAGCCCAGACGACGGGCGGCGATGAGGCGGCGAAGGCGGTCGAATAGCCGCCAGACCGCCAGACAGGCCCAGTTCCTCCGAAGAGGAGTAAGAAGCTCTGAGTGCAAGACTTGTTTTGGGAATCTCATAAAGTCTCCCTCTCTTCATTCTCTTGGGAGCAAGGGAGGGAGATGGAGGGGCGTAAGGGTTGGCGCGAGCAAGAGCAGGCAGCGGGGAGAAGGGCGAGACAGCAGGGTCAGCAGCAGGATCAACCGGCGGCAACAGCCGGGAGCCAGGGAGGCAGCGGCGGCAGCAGCGGCGGCGCCAGCAGTGAAGCGGCAGGGGCCAACGGCGGTGGCAGCAGCAGCGGCAGGAGCACGCATGAGCGCAGCAAGAGCCGGGTTTTTTTGTTGGCTGCTGCCGCTCCCGGGTGCCAGGGCCGCGGTGACCGCCGCGCGCCAGTACGTCATGGCGTCTCTCCTGAGGTCGGCGTGGTGGGCGCGCATCCTGGCGCTGACGGCCCAGGCCTCTTGCTCCGAGAGGCCCGCCAGCTGGATGAGCTCCCGCGCGCTGCGGAAGCGCAGCAGGTGCGGGCGCAGCTCCCACTCGACGAACTGCAGCCAGTAGCGCCTCTCGTCGTGGAACCTGTGGAACTCCAGGGTTTGCCCCTGGAACTCAGCCGGCGACAGCGGGTGCTGCGTGCGGTTCGCGCCCGGGTCGACCAGGAGCTCCAGCGGCGGCAGGGGGTCCCGCGGCCACACCATCTTGTGGATGAGCGGCGAGGCCGGCACCAGCACGGGGAGGCCCATCGCGTAGGCGTCGGACAGCCGGAGCGCGCTGGGGATGTGCGGCAGCATCACTGACGCGCGAAAGCGGGCCATGTCCGCGAAGCTGAGCGAAGTCGCGTTCATCCCCACAAAGGTCGGCGCGGCGCCGGGCGCCTCCGCGCACAGCAGCCGCAGCACGCGCAGGAAGGCGGGCGCGAAGGCCATGGAGGAGCGGAAGAGGAGCACGTCCGCGGACGCGGGCGCGTAGGTCGCGGCGGAGGCCACGTGCAGCGAGAGGAAGGGCACGAAGGGCGCGCGGATGCCCGCCTGGAACGCCAGCATCTCCGCCGTCATGCGCGACGTGGCGGTCAGCGCGCCCGAGGGCTCCGCGTCCGCGGCGAGCGCCTGGGCCAGCGGCCACAGCTCCGCCGCCTCGCCCTGCCTGGAGGACCAAGAAAACGCATAACACACAAACTTGCGGAGGTCCGCACGGATGACTTAGGTCGGCGCCAGACTCCCTGGCGCGCGGAGCGCGCCAGTGGGCGGCGCCAGAGGCGCCGCCAGGAGGACTCCAGAGCAGATCTAAGACATCCGCCTGGACCTCCGAAAGTACCGGTGTTGTGCCGTTTTTGTTTCTAGCGGACGGAGAACCACACACATATATATATATATATATATATATATATAGACATATATGTGTAACATAAGCTTCTCCGCTGTCGGGGGCGCCTGCCCCAAGGCGGCTGAAAAGTTTATACACCGACGTGCTGCCGTAGGGGGACACATTCCCCAGCCGCCCTGGGAGAGGCGCCCCCGATGGCGGAAACAGCTTATCTCATGCCGTTGTTCGCCCCCCACTTCTCGGGGGGTGCGAAAGGTACCCCTGGCCCAAGGCGCCCCCAGCTTCTCGCTCCATCTTGGAGCCCCTGGGGCCCTCTGGGCCTCGTCAGGGGTGCTCTGGAGGCCGCTGAGACCTTCTTGGAAATCCTGGGGGCACCTTGGGCCCGGGGTACTTCGAGCAACACCCGAGCTTCTGCCACTGCCCGAAGAAGTTCAGGAAGTCGACCAGCAAGCAGGCCACCTTAAGAGGCAAATACTGGGAGGCTTTCGCCGGAAGGACCAAGGAGGATTAAGCCCCATTGGAGGCTGTTGCGCCAGATTGGGCCTTGGATTAAGCGGGAGTTAGCCGCATTGAACGGGATTCAGCGGGATCAGATCGGATTAAGCTGGATTGCTAAACCTCCCAGGAGTTGCACACGAAGCCACCCGCCCCGCCGAGCTCGCGCGCACGAGCAGGCCGCCCGGGCCCCGCGCGGCGTGCAGCAGCACGCACAGCCACAGCGGCTCGCTGCACACGACGATGCCCGCGCGGCCCAGCAGGGGCTCCGCCGAGGCGTACTGCCGGAGCAGCTGCACCGCCCTCGCCTGCAGAAACTAAAGGGGCCCAGGGACACGCAAATGCATGCACACAGATAACAGGATTCCCTATCTTTTTCCATATGTTCTGGGTTTTCGTCTTCCCCCCCACTTCCCATATTTTCGCACATTCTCGGGGGAATCGACGATTCATTGTGTCTGTGTGTTTTTTCCCCCTCCTAAAAAACGGACTCCCTGATGGGGTCCACGTATGGATCGGGGATGCTTCGAACCCTCCCCCCGCCCTCCCCCTCCTCAGGCACGCCTACGACGACGCCGACGACGCCGACATTCTCCAGCGGCGGCGGCGGCGGTTGGATATCGTCGAAATCGCCGACGCATCGCTGATGCACTGGCGATGGGTCGGCGACGTCGGCAATGCATCGGCGACATCGACGTAGAAAAAATCTGGCTCCATAGTAAGCCGCATCGCCGGTGCATCGGCGATGCGGCGTGATCCTCCGACCACATCTGCTCGGACTACATCTGGGAGGCCTAGCTGCAGGACTTTTACAGCGCGCTGCTGACACCCAGGCTCTAAAAGCGAAGAGCGCAGGGCCCGAATGTCAGAACGGACCAGATAATCAGACAGAGCCTGACTCGTGCCCTGAGGCGGGCGCGGGAAGCCAAGGATCGTCATCGTCCTCCTCACGAACGCCTGCCACCACATAATGCAGAGACGACAAGCTATCATCAGGCATGAAAGGAGTAACAAGCCCAACCAATCCGCGCGGATCGAACACTCTTGATGAAATGGTCGGACGAAGTGAGTAGACACATGAATTAGGAAGGCATTGAAAGTACATCGGATTTCCGACACCTCTGAACTTGAAGTAGGACAAAAGGCCATCCGCTGATAATGAAGTAGGAAAACGCCTAAGAAGTAACTCGAGATCTGGCCAAGAATGCATACGCTCAGCGACCGATTAATATTCTTTTCCTCCGATCGCCACGGTCCACTCCGGGGGCTTCGAGTCGTCGCGGCCCTGCGACACGGTGAGCGGGCTGCCCCAAAACTCCTCCCAACCGACGCGCAACGAGGAGCTGAGCGCGCCGCCCTCCGCCGTGCCGGCCAGCGCCCACGCGTAGGTGAAGAAGTGGGAAGCCTCCACCTCTCGGGCTGGGACTGGAATAAATGGATGTCGTAACCTTTGCGCGTGCCAAAACACAAACCGACGTGAACCACCATGGAGCCCACCCAATATGTTTCTGGCCGTGTATGCTGTCGAAGCAATGTGGCAATTTCGACTGAAGAGCGGAGGATGTGGTTCAATGCAGGTTGCTCAATAGATGTTGCGCAATACGTGACATGCAATGTATGTTGCGCCACTTCTGGTGTGCAATCGATGCTGTGCAATATGCGTAAGCAGTGCGGTACAATACACGTGGTGCAGTCTGGGTGTCCAAACGGGCAGCGCCCGCGGCCGCACGGACAGGCAGCCCAGTCCCAAAATAGGAACCGGAAGTGCATAGTTTTCGTGCCCAGTCCTTCTCCTTCCTCCTCCTCCTCCTCCTCCTCCTCCTCCCCCTCCTCCCCCTCCTCCCCCTCCTCCCCCTCCTCCTCCTCCTTCTCCTCCTCCTCCTCCTCCTCCTCCTTCTCCTCCTCCTCCTCCTCCTCCTCCTCGTCCTCCTCCGCCTCCTCCTCGTCGTCCTCCTCCTCCTCCTCGCACCCACGTCGACCATCCCGACCCCTGGACCTATCCCCGTGCCTGACGGTCCTCGGACCACGACTCGACTCTCGAGGGCGCGCAGAAATAGACCACCGATCCGTGGATTTGGCGCGCGGTCGCCATATCCATGAATCGGAGGATCAGAGGCGACGATAGGGGCGAATAGTCCAGGGGAGAGCAATACATGGATTCAGGTGCGCCGATGATCCATGTCTTCGAAAAGGCTCCCGGGCGAATATATGTAATGCCCGCCCCTGGGCTATTCGCCCCTATCGTCGCCGCCGAGAGGAGGTGCCCTCCCCAAAATGCGGCCGGCGCCGCCTCGTTCGGCGGCGAGAAGCCGCGACTTCCCGTGGGAACGGGACCCGCCGCTCATCCACGCCCCCTCAATCCATGTTTGCGATCGCCTGAGGCTCTCCAGCGGCCGTTCGGGACGATCCGGGGCGGGCCTTCTCAGAAGGCTCGGAATGTCCCCCTACCTTCGATTCGGGCATGTCCCCCTACAGGGGGGTTTTGGACGAAAAAGTAAACATAGGAAAAGATACTCCTAAAGAGCTCAAACATACTCGGCGGTGGACAAACCTCCCTTTAGTAAACCACCCTTTCGTGAAAACGGCCTGGGACCGAAACCGACGGACGTGGACCCGCAGATGACGGCCGCGACACCCTCTCGCGATCGAAAATGGCCAGTTCGCTAGTCGACGTGTCAGCGTAGGAGGTCTAGCAACCTTCGATTATCAGAAGGCTCGGAAGTCCCCCTGCCTTCTGAGAAGTTTCCTAACCAGAAGGCGCAGCAAACCTCTCCGAGGGCGCGAGACCTTCTCCTTCTCACTTCCCTCCAGCGCTCGCCGCCGGTGCGTACTCTGAGTTCCTCAATCAAAAGGGGGGTGGTCTGATATTTTTGGGGTCTGATTTGAACTGTCTTGGAGGGTTCCAGGGGTGTCTGGGCAGAAGGCCTTCTTTCATGGCTGGTTTTTTTTGGGGGGGGTCCAAAGCTGGTCGTCTGGGAGGGTCGTGATACCCCCCCTTCGATTACGAAGTCTGGAGTAGCCTTGTGGATGCCACGACAATGGACACCCTAACAGTCCTACCATTGAGTTTAACATGTGTTAAACATGCTGGAAACATGTTCCAAACATGTGTTCAACATGTTTTTTATACATGCTTAAGCCATGTCAGTTTCTAATGTTCTAGACATCTGGAGATCACTTCGCAACATGCTTCCTCTCCATTGATCGTCCTCCACAAGAGAAGCCCCTGACTCCCCCCCCTGGTCGTCCGACCCGGGCCTGCACGCCCTCGCCGCACCCGTCGCGCAGCGCCGCGGCCAGCGCGGACAGGTGCTCCAGGTTGCCAGCGGAGGAGGCAACATCGGCGCAGGCACAAACTTTCGGTGGGCCCAGGGACACACGAATTCGTAGAAACGAGAGAGCGCGCCCGCGGCGCACTCCCAAGGGGTGGGGGAGCGGTCCCACCCTAGCTTTAAGTCGGGCCTGTCCCCTACAGGGGGATTGTGGACGAAGAAATAAAAATAGTCAAAACATGCACCAAGAAGGTAAAAAAACAGCTCAAAAATCGTCCCCAGACTATTGGTTGCCTATTTTTGAATATTCCTCTTGTAGAGGGACAGGCACGACTTAATCCTAGCTACCCCCCCCCCCGCCTTGGACCTGGACCTGGCCTGCCGGACGCCCACCCTTCCCCCCCTCCTCTTTGTGCGCCCCTCGGACGCTCCTCCCCTCCCTCCCTTTCGCGCTCTGGGAGCGAGGCCCCCTCCTCCCTGTCCAAAGGCGAGGGGGGCTTAGCTACCCCCCCCCTTAACCTCCCCTGCCGGACCCCCTCTTTTTTCACGCCCTTCGGAAGCTACCCCGCCCCCTCCATTTCGCGATCTGTAAGCTACCCCCCCCCTCCGTTTCCAAGGGGGGGGGGCTTAGCCACCCCGCCCCTTTGAACCTCCCCTGCCGAAAGCCTCCCCCCAGCCCCTTTTGGGCTGAAGCGGGGCGGGGCTTGGAAGCCTCCCCCCCCCCTTGGCTAAAGGAAGGAGCGCGGAAGACCAAAGTGCGCCGAAAACCAACAGGGCGCCGAAAACCAAAGAACAGCCGCAAACCGAAAGGGTGCGAAAACCAAAGGGCGCCGAAAACCAAAGAAACGCAAACAAAAACCGAAAGAGCACCGACAACCAAAACGGCGCCGAAAACCAAAGATGCGTCGAAAACCGAAAGAGCACCGAAACCCAAAGGAGCGCCGAAAACCAAAGGGGCGCCGAAAACCAAAAGCGCGCCGACAACCAAAAGAAAGACGAAAACCAAAGGAGCGGCGACACAGAATGAGCGCCGAAAACCGACGATGCGTCGAAAGCCAAAAAGGAACCGAAAAACTTAAGTGGCGCCGATAACCAAAATGGCGTCGAAAACCACAGAAACGCCGAAACAGAAGAGGCTCGAAAAACCAGCGGTTATCCGAAAACCAAGGAGACGCCGAAAACCAAAAGAACGCCGAAAACCAGAGCAGCGCCGAACACCAAAAGAGCGCCGAAAGCCAAAACCCAAAAGGGCACCGAAAAGCCAAGGGTCGCCGAACTTGGAAAGGACGCCAGAAACCAAAGGAGCGCCGAAAACCAATAAAGAGCCGACAACCAAAGGATCGCCAAACAACATAATTGCACCGAAATCTAAAGCACTGCTGAAACCAAAGAAGCGCCGAAAACCAAAGACGGTACCGAAAACCAAAACGGCGTCGAAAAACCAAAGGAGCGCCGAAAACCAAGGGGGCGCCGAACACCACAAGAGCACCGAGAAAGAAAGGAGCGACGAAAACCGAAAGGGCACCAAAAACCAGAGGGGAACGCCAAAAACCAAGGGGGCGCGGAAAACCAAGAGGACGAAAACCAACAAACCGCCGAACGCAAAAATGTGCGCTGGAAACCAAACCGACACCGAAAACCGAAAAGACACCGAAACCCAAAAAGACACCGAAAACCAAAGGGGCACCGAAAACCAAGAGGGCGTCGAAAACCAAAGGGGCGCCGAACACCCAAAATGCGCCTAGAACAAAAAGAAACGCCGAAAACACGAGGGCCGCCGAAAACCAAGAGCACGTTTCTTCATTCGCGGCGACAACAAGCGTTGGGGGGGGGTAAAACGTAACACCCCCTCCGCCGTGCGGTTCCGACGCCACCACAGGGTCCGCGCGCACAACGACGACGACGACGACGAGCCACGACGACGACGACAACAAGGAAAGCGACGACGACGACGACGACGTCGACTAGCGACCAAGACGACGACGACGATGACGACGTTGCCCCCACATGGCGTAGAAGAGGTATACGACTTGCCTCCCTCAACCATCCCCGTCGTCATCGTCGTCGTCGTCGTGCTTCTCCTCCGTTTGCTCCCTCTCCTACGAACACCACAAGTGCTTGAGAGCACCGCAACTTTCCCGCGCCCACCGGCCCTATGCGGATCCCCGCGCGGATCCCTGTACGGATCCCTATGCAGATCCCCATGCGGATCTCTAGAAGGGCCCCTGGGAATCTCAATGCGGATCCCTATGCGGATCCCGATGGATATCTCTATGCGATCCCTCTGCGGATCTCTATGCGGATTTCTGTGCGAATGCCTGTGCGGATCCCTGTTCGGGTTCCTGTGCGGATCCCTATGCGCACGGCGGCAGTGCCGGGGGCGCACTGGGTGCCAGAGAATTACGTCAGGGGAGCCATAACACGCGTTATGGCCCAAGCAATAAAGCAACACGCTCCAACGAAGCACCGAAAATCAGCAGGGCGCCGAAAAATCAAAGTGGCGCCGACAATCAAATGGGCGCCGAAAACGATAGGGGCGCCGAAAACAACAGAAGCTCCGAAGACGGACAGGGCGCCGAAAACAGAAAGGGCGCAGAAAACTCAAGGGGCACTGAAAACCGCAGGAACGCCGAAAACCAAAGGGGGGCCGAACACCAAAGAGGCGCCGAAAACCGAAGGAGCGCCGAAAACCAACGATGCGCCGAAAGCCAAAAGGGCGCCGAAAAAACCAGAGTGGCGCCGAAAGCCAAAAGGGCGTCGAAAACCAAGAGGGGTGCCAAAAACCAAAGGCGCGCAGATAGCCGAAGGGCACCCAAAGCCAGGCGCCGAAAACCAAAGAGCGCGCCGAAAGCCAAAACGGGGCGCTGAAAAACAGAAATGTGCCGAAAACCAAGAAGGCGCCGAAAACCAAAGGGGCGCCGGAACCCAAGAGGGCGCTGAAAACCAACGATGCGCCGAAAACCGTAAAAAAGGTCAGCAGAATACCAAAAAGGGCGTTAAACACCAAAGGAGCACCAAAAGCCACCTGAGCGCCGAAAACCCAAGGAGCGCCGAAAACCAAAGGAGTGTCGAAAACCAAGGAAGCGCCATAGGCCCCAAACGCGCCGAAAACCAAGAAGGCGCCGAAAACCAAAAAGACATCGAAAAGCACAAGCATGCCGCAAACCAACGGGGCGCCGACAACCAAAGAAGATAAGTAGCTTCGAACCCCCCCTTCAGCCAAAACCCTTGGGCTGGAAATGCCAGCGGAAGGAGGGGAGAGGGGGGATAGCTTCGACGCCCCCCCTTTTGCAAAGGGGAGCCCGGGCTCGTCTGGGGCTCCGAAAAATGAGTGGGGGGATAGCTCCCAAGCTCCCCCACCCCTTTAGCCGGGGACCACCCAGCTCCAACATCCAAACGAAAGGAAGGGGGGAGGAGCAAGCTTCGGAAGCCCCCCCCTTGAAAGGGGAGCCTGGTCTGATCCCGGGCCCCGAAAATGGGCGGAGGGGGGGTTAGCTTCCAAGCCCCCCTCCCCCTTTTAGCTAGGGCCCCCCCAGCTAAAACATGGCCACAAAAAGAAGGGGAAGGGGGGTAGCTTTGGAAACCCTCCCCCCTTTTCCGAGGGACGGTGCGGCTCAGCTTGAAGCTGGTGCGCCACGAGCGCGCTCTTTCACAGAAACAATCCCAGAATTCATTCCCCTCCTCCTCCTCCTCCGCCTCCGCGTCATGCTCCGCCTCCTCCTCCTCCCTTCACCGCCCGCCCCATGTTCCTAGCTTGTGGCAGGATCATCAGCTCGTGGTCGTCGTGGTCGTCGTCTTGGTCGTGATCGTCGTCCTTCTTGGTCGGCGCAGGCAGAAACTTTTGGAGGCCCAGGGACACACAGATAGAAAGAAACAATCCCACCCCGTACATGTTTCCAGAAGTTCTGGATGTTCGCCTTCCCCCCACTTCCCATAGTGTCCCAACTCCTCCTGGGAATCGACGATTATTAGTGTCTGTGTTTTTCCCCTCCTGACTTTCGGAGGGCCCCAGAGTCGGGGAGAACATTAGAAGCCTCCCAACTGGAGTGGGAGGGTCTTGCCGCATCGCCGATGCATCGGCGATGCGTCGGCGACGTCGGCGGTGCATCGGCGACGTCAGCGCGGGGCAAATCGGGCTCCCCACCGAGCAGCCCGCCGATGCATCGGCGATGCAGCGCGCTCTTCCGACCCCATCCTGCTCCATCCCGAGGGCCCCAGAGGCCGAAAGCATGGAGCCAAACACCGCTTTCGATTGCTTCGACAACTCGGAGGTCTGGGTATGCAGCTGGCGCCCGCCTGCTTCGGCGGTGGACAAACCTCCCTTTAGCAAGCCTCCCCTTAATGAAAACGGCCTTTGACCGAAACCGACTGACCTGGACCCGCAAAAATGACGGCCGCGACGCCCTCTCGCGAACCGAAAACAGCCAATCCCACCAGCCCTCTGGGCGTCGGTGGTTTGGAGCGTTTCCTCTTCCACCCCTCCTTCTTCCCCTTCGGGGAGGGGTTTACCCCTCCCCCTACCCCCTCCCCACTGACCTGGACAGGGGGTTCCGCGGCGCGCTGGAGCGCCCAAGATCGACCCCTGGGAAGGCTAAAATTCGACACTCCTCACGAGGATCGTGGCTCCTGGGGGGGGGACTCTAATTAAGGAACCCCTCTTCTTTGATCGATTTCCTCCACGATGGCCGCAAGAGGCCCCCAGGATGCCCCAAGAGGCCGCAGGATGGCCCCAAGATGACCCCAAGAGGCCCCCCAAGAGGCCCCCAGGAGGCCCCCAAGAGACCCCCAAGAGGCCCCAAGAGACCCCCCAGAGGCACCCAAGGTGCTCCCAGAGGCCCCAAGATGGCCCCAAGAGGCCCCAAGAGGCCCCCAGGAGGCCCCAAAGAGGATCCCGAACGGCCCACAGAGGCCCCCCCGAGGCACCCAAGACGCCGAAAAGCCCCTCAGGACGACCCTCTACTCGCCTGGGCGTCGTTTCTGGACGGGCTGGTGGGGATACTTTTTTTTTACAGCCGCAGGCGGAAGCGCCAGCGGCGGAAGGTGGGCTGGTGGGGATACGCGAAGCGTCTAGAATTCCTCAATCGACGTGTCAGGGTAGGAGGTCTGTCCGCCCCCGACTGCTCTGGGCCCTGTGGGGTGGGAGAATCGCGCCGATGCATCGGCGACGTGGCATCGGCGACGTGGGCGAGGCATCGGCGCCGTCGACGTGGAGAAACTCTGGCACCACATCGAGGCGCATCATCATCGAGGTGGAGCGATCCTGCGACCCCATCGACTCGGACCCCATTTGGGATGCCCAGGGTCTCCTTGGCGCGCCGAGCGCGCTGTGGGCTGCGCTGGGCGGCGCCGCCAGGGGGCTCCAGCGCCGATCCGAGCGCTCCGCGAGGACCTCCAGAAATGTATGCTCACGCTGATTTTGATGGGCCTGTTGTCCACCACCACTGCTATAGATAGGAGGGGAAGAGGGGGAGGAGGAGGAGGAGGAGGAGGAGGAGGAGGAGGAGGAGGAGGAGGAGGAGGAGGAGGAGGAGTAGGAGGAGGGGGAGGAGGAGGAGGAGGAGGAGGAGGAGGAGGAGGAATAGGAGGAGGAAGAGGAGGAGGAGGAGGAGGAGGAGGAGGAGGAGTAGGAGAAAGAGGAGGAGGACCTTCCCGTCCTCCTCTCTCCCCCATTATACCCATGGCAGCGGTGGTGGAAACTGGCCCACCAGATTTTGCCTCTTCGAGCTGGGGCCGTGCTCCCCCACGAGCGCCACACTCAGGGCGCCGGGCCCCCGGCAAAGGTCCGGGCTGCCGAGCCACTGCGGGTGCTCCGGCCACAGCTCCTGCCACGGGCGGAAGCGCGGGGGCGGCACCGGTCGGGCGAGGCAGTAGGCCTCGTAGGTGGGGAAGTACTCGCCCTCCTGCGTGTTGAGGTTCACGGCGATGTCGAAGGACGTGATGTTCCAGCGCGAGGACTCCAGATGGTCGAAGATGAACACAGGGGACCCCAGCACGGCCGCCCAAGACTTGTAGATGCTCTCCCAATAGTCCCTCGCCTCCTCCGGAGACAGCTGCCCCCGAACCTTGTGCACGATGTATATGACGTACTGCACCAGGAGGAAGCCCATGGGGCACGCAAGGAAACCCGCGAGATTGTCTGGGCCCCACGCGGGGGCGGAGCCGAAGAGCCCCTGGTACTGCGCGCGCTGGAAGGTGCTGAGGAAGTCCGCCTTGCCGAGGATGCTGGTCTCCACGACGCTTCCGTTCTGAAAGAACGTCCCCGGGAGCGGCACCGTCATCTGGCCGTCGAACGCCCCGGCGGCGTCCATGTCGTCGATGAACGTCTCCCACTCCTGCTCACGGCCCTATCTTCCACCGCCACCACTATAGATAAGAGGCTGATGGCATTCCAGACCTCGAAAGCTGGTGGCATTCTAGAGCTCGAAGACTTCAACTCGTCATCGAACCCAGCGCACGCTGAAATCTTCGACGTCCGGAAGGCCCTCCTGCCTGAGTGTAGCCGTGGAGGCCTTCCAAAAAGGGCTGGAACAGATGAGGCCAGAACATCGCGACTCATCGCCGATGCATCGGCGACGGGACTGATGGAGCAGACTGGGCTCCAGATCGGCTCGTACATGTACCGCAGATACGTCGGCGGTGCGGCGCGATCCTCCGAACCAAACTGCTCCAGCCTCGTTTTGGGAGAGGCTTGCAACAGTCGGACAGACAAGAAGATGCCGATACAGGTGTTCCCCGGACCTTTGCCAGGATGCGTTCTGACTAGCATTACGAAGAGAACCCAGCCGTGGCGACGAGGGCTCTCCAGGACGAGCAGCGGCATCGGCAACACCTTCTCCTCCCCTGAGTGGTGGTGGCGGAAGAACGGGCCGCTTGACTCCCAAAGCATCCGATGCCTTGACTGTTTCCAACACGGAATCCCCAGAAGTCTCCATCCTCTCCCCAGGGCAATGATTCCATCCCGAATCGCTTCCTGATGGTCCCGAGGCCCAAGAAAGGACCCCAGACGCCGAAAGTGTGACCAAGACCTTCCGTCGTGATTTTCACACGGCGCGACCAAAGCTTGGAAGAACATAATCGGCATGAACATGATGTCTTGCATGACCGCGTCGATTTCTTGGATCGGCGCTGGACCCCCCTCTCTGGCGCCGCCGCGGCGGCCCAACGCCGATCCAAAAAGTCCGCGCGGAGCTCCTAAAATGTATGCTATTGCCGTTGTTTCTGCTTTCAGGCCCCCAGGAGTCTCGACCCTCTCCCCAGGGGAGCTGCTCCATCCCGACTTCTGTTTTCACGACCCCGAGGCCCAGGAAGTGCCCGTAGAGACCGAACGTGGCTGCCCGACCCCCCGTCGTCGATTTATCGCAGCGCGGGTTATGTTGTCCCCATCGCACTTAAGGACCACATCGTTGTTCACATCCCATAGTACCGTGCTACAGTAGGTTGGAACAGCTTCAAGCGCGGGCATGACCCAGAAGAAGAAGAAGAAAAACAGCATGAACATGAACTCGCTGCGCTCCGCGCGGACTTTTTCGATCTGTGCCAAACCCTCCTTTCCCTGGCGCGCGGAGCGCGCCAGGGGCGGCGCCGGAGGCGCCGCCCGGGGGGGGGGAGGGGGGGCAGCGCGGATCCAGGAAATCCACGCGGAGCGCCAAAAGGTAAGTTTTTGAGCTTTTGCTGCATCTTCTCGTCTTCGAGGTCTCTCCTTCCACTTGTGGTACGCCAGGGTCACCACGTCCTCCCCGAGGGGGCCCTGCGCCGCGAAGCGGTCGCGGAAGAGCGGCCAGAAGGCCGCGCGGCCGCCGCCCGGGGGCGCATCCCCGCCGCAGTCCAGGAAGGCGGCGGCGGCGCCGGGGTCGAGACGCTCATCCGCCTCGGCGGCGGGGTTCAGCGCCAGCGCCGCCTCGAGGGCGCCGTCCGCCGCGGCCGCCCACTCCGCGCTCCAGCCCGCCAGGACGTCCCGCAGGCCGGCGTCGCCCCTGCTGCTGCTGCTGCTCGTCCTCCTCCTCCTCCTTCTTGCTCCTGCTCCTGCTCCTGCTCTTGCTCCTGCTCCTGCTCCTCCTCCTCCTCCTCCTCCTCCTCCTCCTCCTCCTCCTCCTCCTCTGCCTCCTCCTCGTGGCTCGCCGCCGCAGGGAATGATGTCGCTGACAAGTTGGCTGAGCTCGGAGCTCAGAATCTTCTCAGAACGTCGACCTCGGAAGTAGAGTCGACAGAGAATAGCGCCAAGATGCACAATATATGCCTTGTGTAAATTGCTGCAACTTTGGGTCTGTGGGAGACAGTGGGTCCCCGTGCGTGTAAGAAGGCAGTCGAGACTCGTGACGAAGCTATTGCGTTGCCGATTCCTGTTGGCGCGCAGAGCGCCAGAAAGGTGTGAAACCAATATCATACTGCCCCACCTGCTCCCGACCCCGTGGATGCCCCTCCCCCCCCCGCTTCCGCCATTCGCGGGAGTGGGGTGGGAACAGGAAACGTATATACGCAACCTTCAAATCCAAGTGCACTGACAAGGCTTTTAAGGCAACGGAGTTGGAGGCTTCCCCTGGCTACCACATGACGCTCTCGGCCCTCATTGGTCACGCGAGGGCTATCAACTGTACGTCTCACAAGCCATCAGAAGCTATATGTGTATCATCGCATGTGGCAGATGCGGAAAGTATGATGAAGCAAACTGTGTCTCTGGCGGGGCAATGCGGAAGGCTTTTGAGGCGCCCAAGCGGTCGAACCCAGTGGAAGCTACTCCGTTCGGGGAAGCACCTGCGATCGTCCTCCTCAACCATCTCCCAATACAGGTGCCCCTCAAGAGATGCTGACGGATTATCTCAACCGTCAGCGCTCAGACCGATCACAACAGAGTGGCATCGGCCAGCAAGATGGAGGAACTCATCCGCCCCCTCCTCCTCCTCCTCCTCCTCCTCCTCATTCTCCTCCTCCTCATTCTCCTCCTCCTTCTGGAGGTCCGAAAACGGTGTGGTGACAGTCCGCGCGGCGACATCGGAATCCTCAACGACCTCACCGCACGATCCATCACCCACGGCTAGGTGACTTCGGAGGCCCAAGTCGCCTGAGAAATCCTCGGAGAACGACCCAGATTCCAAAACAGTGCGTCATCCCGAATCTCCACCGACTCACCACACAATGCGGCCACCGCAACGCTTGGGGGCATCCGATCCTCCTCCTCAGAACCCATGACTGCAAACAATGTGAAGCCAAACTCTGATGCCTCCCTCCTCCTCCTCCTCCTCCTCCTCCTCCTCCTCCTCCTCCACCCCCTTGTCCTCCCCAAATATCCGTCGTGATTTTTCGCAAAAAGGCTCCCCGAAGACCCGACCCATTCCCGAAGACCTGCTTTTCATCCTGAGTCGTCTTTTGACAGTCCCGGGGCCCCGTGAAGCCCCCAGAAACCGAAAACTGCTAAACATCTTTCGTCGTGACTTCTCCAGCACGTGGGGATGTCACCGTCCTCCTCCTCCTTTTCCTCCCCCTCCTCCTCCTCATCCTCCTCCTTCTCCTCCTCCTCCTCCTCAATCCTCCCCCCCGCAAGACGGGAACAGCCAAGGCGACGGCGGCGGCGGCGCAGAGAGCGGCGACGCCGACGCGGCGAAGACGCGCCAGCGGCCCGACGAGTGACTCGTGGGAGGAGGGTCGGGGTTCGACGATCGCGTGGGAGGAGGAGAAGGAGAAGGAGGAGGAGGAGGATGAGGAGGAGGAGGGGCAGGAGGAGGGAGGGTCGCCAGGTGCCCACCCCGTCGTCCGAGAATCGCCAAGTACCCACCTCTGCGCACGAGAAGGCTTCACTTCTCCTCACCTCTTGGCCCGGCCCTTCTCTCATTTAGGGCACGCACTTTGCCGACACCTGGCGGGTCGACACATCGGCATCATGCCGATCGTGTTCTGCGTTGCGATCCGTCTGCCCTTTTTGTGGTTTGATGGCGAACGCCTCCATATATGCAGCGGCCATCCCGCCAATGTCCGTGCAGCACAATTCGAAAAAAGGACAAGGAGTAGGAGGAGGAGGAGGAGGAGGAGGAGGAGGCGGAGGAGGAGGAGGAGGGAGGAGGATCGCTGGGGAGGAGAAGGGAGGAGGATCGAGGGGGAGGAGGAGGGAGGATCGACGATCGAGGGGGAGCAGGAGGGATCGAGGAGTGAAATGGCATGGGCCCCATCGCGATGCGATATCAGGACGAATACCCGACGGCGTCAAACCAAAACTTCGAGGATTTCACTGGGCTGGTCAGCTTATCCTTGGGACATTGCCTTTCCTTGAGACGCTGTATGTGCCGACTCCGATTGGGGTTGCGTCTGGGCCTTAGAAAGCCCAACCAAGGGAGCCCTCTGATGGGGTTTCCCGTAGCACCTGCACTGGAGGGGAAGAAAACGGGAACCGTGACCAAGACTGAACGTGGAAATGTCGTATCTTCCTTCATCAGCGAGGACTTTGGTCAGCGTCAATTCGTGGATCATCCTCGCGAATCGGCGAGGTAAAATGAAACATGCCAAGATCCGCATCGACATCTTGGTCATGGCCCCCGTGCTTCTCCCCTCGACGCACGTGCCACACAGCCACACTTTCAAACAGAGGTTCGAGGATGAGGGGCAACGAGAAGGGGGGAGACTGGCAAAGGGGGGGCAGGAATCGGCGATGCATCGCCGATACATCGGCGATGGGCCACCGATAGTGAATCCGCACCCTCCCGGGCGAATTGAGGCTATCGGGGCCCCATCGGCGATGCATGTGCGATTGGGGGTCGATGCATCCCCCCCTGTGCATGTCCCCCCCTATCGGTGCCCCTGAGGGGATAGGGAGCCCACAAAGGACGTGCGCGCCCAACTATGTACATGAATGCGGCCCCTCGATCCGCGAGACCGGCCGCGTTATACGAACATCTGCGCAATGCGTTCTCTCGAAACCAGCGTGGACTCATGTACGTGTACGTCCTTCTTTCGCTCCTGAGAGGAGGGACAGTAGATGGACAATGGATTCGAACCCTTGAACATTCGATGGAGATTCTAAATCACCCCCGCGCCCCCGACATCAATGTTGATCTCAGTAAAGGCGGTGCTTTGGGGTTCGAATCTTTCTGTCCACTCACGACCCCCCCCGTCGCCACGCCATCAATATTGATTTCCGGGGGTCTGGGGGGCATCTTGGGCCACAAGGTTCGAATCTGATGTCCATGTAGGGGAGCACCGCGGCTCCTCGCGCCCGGGAGCCGCAGCGGCACCAGCAGCGGCACCAGGCGCCGCACGCGCCGGGCGCCCGCGAGCACATGGAGGGATTGAGCAGGGACCGACCGCCCCGGCATGTCTATAGGTCTACCACGAAATGTTCTTAGAACCCAGACATGCTCTCAGAACAAAAACAATGTTCTTAGAACATATTCCCGATGCGTTAAAACAAGACAGTCCCAGCCAGAACTGTTCTAAGAACATTTCGTGGAAACCACGACAGGTTCTTAGAACATTGTTTGGTACGCCTATAGGCACGCCAGGACGCTTCGCCACTGCTTGAAGGGAGGCCACTCCTGGGAGGCCGTCGAGCCCATGTCTCATTCTGATTCGCGAGACCGCCCGTGACTGGCCCCCCCTTCCCCCCCTTCCCCCTCCCCCCGTGGTCACGTCACGATTCGCGCAGGCGCCGTCTGGGCACTAGCGATTCTTAAGCACTCCCAGGCGGCGGCGGCGCGAATCGCGACGCGACCGGCCCCCCCCCCCTCCCCCAGTCACGCCCGTTATCGCCAGGGGAGAGAAAAGAACTGTTCCCTCAGAGGTCTAGCACGAGCAGCACGGCGTACGGCGGAAGAGGGTCATCGGGCCGCGTGCACCGTTGAGCCTTGAGCGATCGCGACTTCCCGAAAGCTGGGAGCGTTCTATATCGACCGATCCCATGCCACTGCGGCGCTCAACGTAGAACGCCCACGCCTTGGATCGTCACCGCATCCATTCACGCCGCGAGAACCTTCCGTGCTCAACTCGCGAGGATGTGCTCTACCTGGTGGGGTCGGAGTTTATCTATATCCACCGACCCGCGAGCCGACGCCCCAGGCTCCCCAGAAGGCGGGGGACGTCGATATCTGCGGGCACCCACCCCTGGGGGCCCCGAAACTGTCCATATCCACTGCCCTCCCAAGAAGCCCAGGGCGTCGGCTCTCGAAGCGATGGACATGTAGAAATTCCAACCTCGGAGCCCCTTCTCGGGGGCGTCCAAGAGGGGAGCGCCCACGAGGAGGGTTTCCAAATCATGGCCCGAAGAATGTGCGCGGACGAGGGGGGACCAAATGACGCTTTGGAAGAAAATGAGGGGGTTGTGAAATTTTCGGGGACGCACTGACCCGGGTCAATCCAAACCCTGGTCAGTCGGGCTATGCAGAATCCTGCAAAATCCTGCAGGATCCTGCGCCCTATTTCGTGTCAATGCACCCTGGGCCTTGCAGGATCCTGCAAGACCTGGCGCTCTGGCTGATTCCCGTTTGCATTAGCCCCCGTCTCTTGAGCCCCGAAACCTGGGAGATATCGTGGCCCTGTCCATCATATCCGCCGCCCCCTAAGCATCCCCCACTTGGCCGGCCCGACCTTCTTTGAGTACTACCGACACAACAGACCAGACCGTACCCACCGGGCGACACGGTGGGTTCGGACTGCATTGGAAGTGTGCGAAAACGAAGGGCGGGGAAGGGGGGCAGACCTACGGGGGCGGCGGGTGGGTCAGCCTGAGTCCCCAGGTCTGATGTCTTGTTGCCCCAAGCCGCTTGCCTGTCAATGTTCTGTACGCCAACACCCTTCCGGAAAATAATAAGAGCGGTGCTGGACACGGAATCGGACAAGCGACGTGGCCTCCCGGGGCCTTCCGTGCGTTACCGTTTCTGGATTCGGTCGGGTGTCGTGGCCTTGGCCTCCCGCTGTCATCATGCTCATAAAGCACTAGCAGGAATTATAATGAGAATCCGCATCGCGTTTCCGCATGAGTCGTGGAATTTGCCGATCAAGACTTGAAATCGTGTTCATA